AATGTTACTACACAACAGTTTCCTTTATTGGCAAGCTAATGTCCTCAGTTGTAATTTTCTCAGCAACTTAGCCATCGCTTGTCACAAAACATACATTGCAATATGGGACCATATCTGTCTCGTGACTCCAGCTTAGTTATTTGTTACTTGAAATCTGTAACAAAAGTTCGAAATCACAGATTGCAAATGCCAAAATAGCACTGTTTTGCACCCACTAAGTATAAGAAGTTTTGAACAGAAGTAAAAATGGCTATCTTTGAATGCTGAACACATTTAAAATCTGCAATTAAACATGGCAATGAGTGGAAAGGAATAGATGGGATGGAGAGGAGCCAGGGTTTGAGCAAAGTGCCCTGTTTCAAAAACTTCCTGAGTGCCACTCCATGCGAGTAGTGCTTATGCATGGTTACAGCAGCCACCCCCACAAAAGGTCAGGCCCAAATATTTTTGTAACACAGCCTCCCCGTGACGCTACAAGCAAAGCGCAAACAGGTGAAGACTGAAAAAACACAGCAAGAGGTCCCCACAATAACAGGTGTGCGCAGAGCTCTCCGTTAGGGTTGGGGGAAGGCAAGCTTTAAGGCACCCTGCTTTTCAGAGCTCGGGAATCGGTTCATAAAATGCAACGGTAGTGGTTCTTGGCATCCACTGTCACCAGAAACCTGCAGGGCCATCACTTTACATTTTTATTAATGTGGAGACAGGTTTGTTTGAGTTAAGGTACAAAGCAGACTTCGCACCCTCTTTGATGATCACGGGAAAGAAAGGTGGGGGGGGGCTGCCCTTTCTCTCCCCCCCCCCCCCAGAGTACATACCTATTCTAACATTGAATCCTTCTATCTAGTTTGTCCACTTCATTGTTGCTGCTTCCACAGCCGATGTGACTTAAGCAGATAAACAGGAGCACCATGAAAAACATAGCTGTACAGTTAATGCCTACTGAATGAATCTTCACGCGCAAGCACACACACATACTTTGTGGGTATCCATTGCAAGGCGCTGACCAAGAAATTCTGCAGCATCGTCTATGCAGGAGAATGAGCTATTGTTCTTGCAGGCATGACAGTGATGGAAATAAGCGATGACATGTTCTTCATGGCTGCAACATTTGCATCTTTCTGAGCGAGCACTGCAGCTTTATGCTATCTGAAGCGGGAGCTCCACAAGATGGCATCAACACTCCGTCTCCTTCAAGCGCATATTTCTTTAGCACACTACGCTGTTGATATGCCTGATAGAGGTAAACAAGGTGAAGTAGACAGTGCTTTCACAAGTAGTTAATCAATCAAATGCTCTATGATAGAGTTCTATTGTAGTGAAGTTGAAAGTAGAGATTACAAAAAAGCAAAGCAAAAGCGACTACTACTCTTTAAACAGCAGCTTCTGCCACTGCTTTCCGTTTTAGTTACAACTGAGAGGGGGAACCTTTATATCACATGTAAATTAATACATTTTCAGTGCCAACACACCGTACTTTTGTACACATTATATGGACTGGCAAAAAAGGAGACGAAGGAAATATGCCCGACATCCTGACAACTCCATCGCAAGCACTAAAGAGCACAACTCTGATAACCATCTTCAGACATACGAAATTGGCACAATAAAAAGACAAAGTAAAAACCCTTTGTTGCCTTTTATTACGCTAAGTAGTTGTGTGAAGTCGATTCACACTAACTAGGTCGACTTCTCTGACACGGGGGTGTCTTTTAATACGTATGTGCACCTGCACTGCTGCTTTCTGCTGATGTATGGTTCGGCTTAACAGCAGTGAGCGGAGCACATTACACTATTCATTTTTCAGTTGTTTCATGGTTTTCAATAAACGTGAAAAATTAGCACTTTACACTGAAATTTAGTTACCCTTATTTTAGTGCTTCAAAGTTTTTTTTTAAAGTCATGCTTTGCTGCTCACAGAATGAAACTTGGTTACCTTCCTGAAAAAGTACAGTGTACACGCATGTTGGCCGTGTTGCAGGTCAGATCTCTAACTAGGCTATCATGAAATGTTTATGAGCAAATGCGTTCACAAAAGCTAGAGCCTAAAACACGCACATACTTTTTAAAACTGCACATCCGTTCTACGAGTACGCACACTTCGTCTGTCAAGATTGAATGTTAGCACTGTACAAATATTCCTAGCAAGAATACCGTGTGTAAATAAGGTGGGAATATCCTCTGGTGCAAGTACAATTATTCTGTTTTGATGGATAAGTACCTTCCAAATGAACGTGGGCCATGACACAAACATTTGGTCCCACTGATTTGTGCAATGATTATGTCGCAATGATTATGTCACCGCAGTGACACTGTGGCTACGGCGCTCAGATGTTAACTCAAAAGGTGCAGATTTGATCTCGGCTGTGGCGATCGCATTGAAATAGAAATTAAAGGCTAGAGACTCGTGTACTGTGCAAAGCTGCTGCACTTTAAGAGTAGTAGCAATTATCTGGAACCCTCTAAAACGGTGTCCCCCAACACCAGAGTCACTTTGGGATTTTGAACTTCATAAACCAACCAACTAGACTATATGATTAGATAGGCAATCCTAAACGATGCCACATTACAGAAGTTCTGTGCTATAAATGGTGGCATCAATGTTAAACAGTGATTGTTCGGCACATGCAAAATGGAAGGGCATTTGCTATTCTAATGCTTGCAAGATGAAGACATACTTACACCTCATTTTTCTTAAAGGGTGCAAACTTTTCAAAAGGCTGCAAAGACATTAAAAGTCTTATGGCCTCACTGTTTCTATAAAATTTTCTAATTCTATAAAAATTTTCGAAATATTGTAGCCAAACTTACGATTCTCAATAAAAATGAGGATACTGCTATTCTGTTAACCACGTGCATGGGAATTTAAGTGCATAAATCTAATGTATTACGTTTATAGTTATCACCAAAATTTTTTGCGAGACTCAAAGGGCCCCTCACCAGGTTTCACAATTTTGAGCTGACGAGTGCAATGCATAGATGGGGTGTTCACGATCTCGTCAGCCGAAACTTACAATGCTACGCGCCACGGAAATGGGTCAAATTTCAAGATCAACGCTGCTTGCTCTTCTTTTCTCAAGGGTGCGCCCACAGAATGAGGGGATGACGTAGATAACAAAATTGCCCTATGTAGACGGTAGTGCTGCGATGTCGGTCCTCTACATAGATGACTGTGCTCCGACGTCACGACATGAGCAGTTTGTGAAATTTGTTGCTTGAATAGAAGAATAAAACTTGACATAAATTATGAGACACACAAAGAGATTGTGTGCATCTTTTTCATTCTTTTCCCATGAATTGCAACGAGATGTGGGGCTTATGTGCCTGCATTTCGCATGCATTTATGTCCCCGTGGTTAGCACATCGAACAGACGCCTGCCCTGAAAACGAAATTAATGACCCGGGACGTTCGAGCACTCATTATGCTCATCTATTCTAATCGTCTAAGGCAGCATTTCCTAATGCGCGTGCACTGAGGCATCCATCCTACAGAAACAGGCAGACCACAAACTAAAGGGACACTAAAGGCAAATAATTTATGCCAGAGTGAAAGCTCAGCGTACGACATCTAAAACAGCAATACTATAAACATCAGTGCCTTACTTACCAAAAAATTAGACTAAATGTATCACACGATGTGCACCATGAGTGGAACATCTGCGAAATGATCCCAATGATGCTAATGTATGCCTACAACTAATCATTAGTAATCAAACTAGCTGCAATAAAAAAAGAACTTTCCATGCATCAATAGACATAATAAAATGCTGCCTGTCAGTTTCTGTTTGATTAAAAGAAAAAAGAACCGCCTGCAGTTGCTGTGGGGAATGGCACGAGTGCTCCAAAAGTTCAGTTTTTGACTGGTTAGGCTGGATAGGTGGTGCCATCTAGTGGGGACCAGTTGAACCAAGCAAGAATCATGGCCTCCAGGATTGCAGAAAACTGTTCAATGGCCGTTGTTGCTACTGTGGCTCCCACTACTTTCACTCTGCTGCTACTGGTGTCGGCAGCCGAGTAGTAAAAGCAACGTTGGGCGGGGTAACAGTGACGTCTGAAAGACCGCTTTCAGGCACGGGCGATCTGAAGTGTGCCAACGCGATGCGGACCGTTAAAAACATGATTTTATTGCAAAATAAACAGCTCCTTAACACAGAACTCTCACTACGAGGTTTCTGGACCACTATTTCAACAATCAACGTTGACCTAATATTTGCAATTAGTGTCCCTTACAATGCTAGTAAACAAAACAACGCTGCTCGGGAGTTGGGCTTGCTCGAGAACGTCATGCCCACATGACCTCTTGCTCGGATGCTCGAGAAAATAGGAAAGAGATTTGGCTGGCGAAGGCTACGCGAGGCAATCAGCACGAAGTTTTGAGCTCGCCTCACGGTTTTGCACCGCTTCAAAATACTAGTTTTCTTGGCTCGTAATGAACTGATTAAAAAAAAAATTCTTGTGGCATAATGCTCCTCTTCGAATACACAACTGCTAGTGTCCAACTAGAATTTGTAATGGAGCCTGGTGAGGGGCCCTGTAAAGAAGATATGATGCAGGTACTAATTCTTGTAACAAGGCAATGTTACGGGACACTGATTTTGTCCCCTGTGCACATTCCAATAGGGTTACAGAATTGCAATATCTCCTTTTGCTGGGAAAGTACATGATTAAATTACCTCATAAAATTTTTTAGAATTTTTTCAAATTTCAAACAACACTTTTTTACAGATAAATTTTGCTCAAATTGTTGCAGTGGTTGTCAAGTCGAATCATTTTTGCCCTTATGAAAATGAAGGTAATGTTTCTCAGTTTCTTTATGAATGATTCTTTTTCTCTTTCATTTTTGTTTAAGAAATGCCTCAAAACAATTTGCAGCTGAAAGGTTTCATTAGGAGCCTTCATTAAAAGGCTTCATTGAAAGGCCTCATTAAAAAATTACGGCACCATAATATACAGCCTCGAAAGGCAGAAGGTGACATGGAGAACATCTCGCAGCCAGCACCATGCCAAGCGATGCAACAGGTTAAATTTAATAACTAAGAAAAGATTTCATATCTCGATGGAAGCTGATTTCACAATCTAAATTCCTAAGACATGCTTGTACTGTGTCCATTCTTAAAAAAGTTCTAGGCATGCATGCAAAACGCGCACTTCAATGTTACGTGTATTCAGAAAAAAAAAAACAATAATAATAATAAACCATAAACATGACCTTCCAAATTTTTTTTTTTTTTCATTTGAACTACAGAATGGCCGTCAAATATCACAAGGCATTTTAAACACATTTCACATGCTTTCAACTAGAGTTTACAAGAAAACTTGAGCCAGGTAACAAGTTGTGCCTTACAACCACACAGGCATGCTGCAAAAGGACATACAAATACGTTACAAGTGCAATATGAATACTTCATTTAAGAAAATTTCAAACATCAACATGTTTAAAAATTAGAAGCCGCAAAAAGGTAACAGTGTTTTGTAGAAGCTCCAGTAATTGTAGCACCCCTCCAATGCGCGTAACGCTATCCATGGTAAAGATTACCACCAAGCCATGACTTCCAATCAAGCTGTGAAGATTTCCCTTACGTTTTTCAAACATTTTCGCCCAACTCTCCGTGGAGTGCCTAATAACAATTCAGTAAAAACAGCTATGCAGTAGGTAGCAAGAAACTGCCCTTTTGATATCTTGGCTATAAACTAATCAACCTCAAAAAGCACTAGTAAAAAATAGCCTTATATATTTCTTTTCTCTCTCTATCCTTCAAAAGCGAAGAGTTCCCGGTGCTCCTCAAGTAACGATTGTGCCGCACAGGGCCCTTCTAAGCAATGCTCGGCAGTGCTTGAGCCCTAAAATATAGAATCTAAAGAAGCTTATCTGGCCCTGTACAAGCCCCGAACTTGTGAGTGAGGCATATCAGTGGTTATTCGTTTTCTCCTAACACCTGCCTTCAACCAACGAACCAACAAACAAAGGTAAACAAGCCCAAAGAGAAACAAACTTCCAGTGGTTCTACTGGACAACAATGCCGAGACGCAAAAAAAAGGAAAAAAGAGTGACGACTGCGGCTCGCCTGGAAGGAAGTTGCGCACGATCACAATGCACATTTACAAGCACTCTTCGATTGCACTAAAGACATGTATATTAAATATGTTGTCATGCATGCCCCCTTTTTTTTGTACACAGAAACAGAACAGCCAGATGAAGAAAAGGGGAGAAGGGGCGCTATGGGTAGAAAGGGGATGCGATGATTTGCACTAAGTCCCGGTTCAAACTGGCTGCCGCAACGTTGAATGGTCACGTGACGAGGAAATTGGGTTGAGGGGGGTTGAAAAGCTCAGCCATACTGACATATCACTGTGGATTATGCTTTGACTGCTGCTTCTTGCTAATTCATTGGTCATGCAATGCCATACACTTTCTAACGCCAAAGCCAGAGATCCTTGGTAAATGCAACCACAGGCTGATTTGAGCTTTGTCCAATTCTAAAACTACATTCAAAGACTACAACGCGAATCATTGAGCACTGGTAGTATATTGTGTATGTGTGTGCAAGTGTACATATATATATATATATATATATATCATGTTATCTTTCCAACAAGACAATATGAAAATAACTCCTTCAAGGCTCTCATTTAAGGACTGCACATGACACTGCCACCCCAATGGAGATGATAGGTAGTGGTGTAATAATAATAATAATATTAAGAAAAATAGAAATCAACAGTGAAGCACACGAGAAAGACTAGAATGTTCTGCACTGCAAAACAGGGAGTTGCACACATTGCTTTGGACAAAACAATTCTCGCTCTGCCTGTGCAGCGTTAGATTTAGAAAAAAGAAAAAGAACAACAACAACAACAACAAAAAAGAAGGCGCTTACACTGGAAAAAAAAAAAAGATCAAGTCCCGAAATGCAAACAAAAACAATGCTGAAAAAAAAAAAAATCTCACAATGCAGCCTACTACTGTCAGTTCTCCACCCCAAATGTCCTTGTCTCGACGCTAGACCCCTTGTGCAACAGGGAAGTATGGCAACAAGGAGCGCAGCACAGTGGTGGTGGCCATGATAAAGAAAGAAAGCGAGTGTGGTGTGTATGGCGCCACCTGCGGGAGCAGCAGAAGCAGCCTTGTTGCTTTGGTCCCTTCCACAGACCAGACTGCACACTGCACTGTATTGCACTGGCCGTCAGTTTTCTTTTTCTTTCTCTTCCGTCCAAGCTCAGCACACAAACACTGACACACATGCACACTTCGGTGGTGCAGGCTTTCAAGGTCCTTGTGAAATGTTCGCACACATGCATGAGTCTGTACAGCATAACTGTGCCTCCTGGTACAACTACGTGTCTTCGTCATAATCATCATCATCGTCATCGTCATAGTTGTCGTCTTGCTGTACAGAGTTTTGAAAAGATGATTCTGAAGAGAGACAAACAAAAAAATGCTAGCATTACACTTTCAGGCAATACTTTCCTTCCACGGTTTGCACTTGTTTCATTATTTAGAAGCAGGTTCAGACTAAACAATACTAAGTGGTTGAATAACTATGTTGTGTTGCATAACTGCCCTAAAAAAAAAAGAAAAAAGAGGAGTAGATCATGATTGATGAGGCCTCAAACATTATGCACTAGGGTAAAAACAGACACCATGAAGAAGAACACAGATGTACAACTTTCATGTTGGTTATTAGATGTCTCTTAAGCTTTCAGCTTTTATATTGAGCACCATTTATAGTAGTCAGTCACGAAACAAAAAGGTTTACGATAGAGTAACAGTTTTCTTGAACTACTGGCCTTTAGAGTGAAGCTTGTAGATGCTCGTATGTGGCTTTAATGTTGAGTCTGGTAACTGAGTGAACGATTGGCACCGGGAAGGGTGAAAGAAAGCAAATGAAAAGTGCGAGTACAGTTATAGTACATAGACTAGAATGAGAACCAGAGCTGCCGTGGTTTTCAGTAAGACGAAGCGTTTCCCATGCATCCTATTTCTGCAAGCGTGTCCTTGTGCTTTCACCCTCTTAATCATCCCAAGGTGCAGTAAACAGAATTTTGAATGTTGCTTCAGTTCGCATGCAACCAGTGGAAGTGTGTTGTCTGCTGCTGCTTTCAAATGAACTGCCCGAGCAGAGGCACTGCGCTGTTGAAGCCAGACTCTTGCTGCACTCCAATTTTACATTAGGGAGTAGCATATTTGTTGGTGGTTTTTAAAAACTATAACTATTGCACATTACAACATTACACGTATGCATTTTATGGCAATTATAGTCGAAACCCTTTATAAGAGACACTGGTATAAGAGACATATAGGTATAAGAGGCACCAGTGTGCCTACAGTAAAATACGGGCTGATAAGAAAATGCATGCGTGGTGCCCTGCTTATAAGAGACATCTCGTATAAGAGACAAGAATTGCTGCCCAGAACATGCTTCTTATAAGGGGGATTCAACTGCATATATTGTTGGAATACATCAGGGGGAATACTAACCAGCTTACAGCAGGGGCGGAACAGGTTAAATGGGTTTGGAAGCAGCCCCGGGAGCACGCAAAAGTGCCTCTTGTAGCAGGCTTCGAGCAGTCAGAGAGAATATTGAGAGCAGATGTAGCCCTTGTTTCACAGCACTTGTGAAACAACATTTGTCCAATGCTGTATTTTATTGTGATCAATTGTATGGACAGTATTGATGGGTTTCTGTAGTCTCTGTGATGTCTCGTATCAAGTCCGAATTGAGGAGATTTCACAGCGCATATACACTCTACCCGTGGGAACAGCGCATGAGCAGGGGCAATGAATGCGGCTGAAGTGAAGATCAAATAACCCGGCCTATTTCTGTCACTCCGATGCGCATGCAATGGGATTCCCCTGACTGTTAGACCGGTCGTTGAATGCTCAAGCAGAGAGGAAATGCCCCGCTTCTCTTTAATGAACGTGAAAAAACGCTAGAGGGGAGGGGCAGGTGGGGTACCTTCAGCAGCAACTGCAGCCTTTCATTTTACGAGCGTGACCGTCACTGGCGCGCGCGTTCTCTTGCTATACCGACAACGGTCAGCATGTGGCTCGCATACCCTTCTACGCACTGCGCTCTCAACACAAAGAGAACGTACGAAGAATGTCCTCGGAGCAGCCGCACTCTCTTAAACCATTGCTCTGTATAGTTTCGCGAGATCAAATCCAAAAATGTTAGCTGCCAGTCTTACTTCTTGTGACATTACAAACTGTTGCAATCGCATTCAATGCTTCACCCTTGTGGTCAAACTGTGACTTTTTTAACACTAAGTTAAATTGTGCAACAGCCTTACTATTGCAATAAACATTGTACGGACACTCTTGACGTTTTTGCCATTGCCATCACCGCCATGCCCCATATTAAGTCCAAATTTACCCCCGAGTATTGCATCTTCACCTACATGTAAAAGCGCTCGATTGGGGGCAACAAATGCGGCTGAAGCAGACATCAAGCGAGTTTGACCATCTCTGTCGTTTGGAGGGCGAGCGTAATACCATCAACTCGCTCGGGAATCCTATCGTAGAGAGGAAACACCCCACTTGTCTTGAACAACCATGAAAAGAAGCGAGGGGGGGGAAAGGGTCGCTCGAGCTGCAACTGAACAATGCATCTAAGGACGCGGTTGCAGGCGCCTGTGCTAGCTCGGAAGCCAACAGGGGGAACTCGCATACACTACTGCGTGCTCCGCTCTCATCGTGAAGTGACGTGCAAAAAGTGATGGTGGGGCAGTATTCTCTTACATCAGCGTTTTGTAGAGTTACGCGAGATCAGACCCAAAAGGATTAGCAGCCAGCCGCCTCACTTCGATAACATGGGAATTTGTTGCTATGGCATTCATTGCTTCGCCTTTGCGGTAAAACTGTGATTTTTTAGTGATTTACAGCCACACAGCACAGCGGCGAAATGAATGAGAATATACGTGTAAGCTCAACGATGAGCAGTCCTGTGCCCGTCTTTGCATGGTTGTTTTGGGAACCGGACAACTTCTTTTGAGCACTGTTATCATAATCTTTTTTTTCTGAACACTGACATCTGTGATGTTATATGAGGTAAGGCTGGCAGCAAACTCTTTTGGACTAATACTGTGTAATTCTACAAAACGCTAGCGTACAAGAATACGACCATGCTAGGAAAAGATGCACTTTTCACACAGTCTCTTCGCGTTGAGGGTGCAGCACGTAGATGCGTTTATGAGCCACTTGCACTGATGCTTGCTGAAATAGCATGTTTGCCAACCTCTTGGAATCAAAGTTCACAGATGCTGCTAGAGAGGTCACAGCCTTCATGAAACCAAAACTACATAAAACTGTTTTGGTGAAACCGAAAACGCAATGCTTCAGCAACATTTCGGGAACAGGACTTAATGGCTGTCACACCTTGTGGCTGAATTTGGATGCTGCGGTGCAGTATGCCGCTAATAAAAGAGTTTGGCACACAATGCAGCTGTTCCACCGCTGTTACAGTAAAGTGCTCATTGCAGCCAGCGTTTAAAGTCACCGTATGTGAAGCTAAGAAAATCGGAAAAGACGTGAAGTCAAGTTTTTGGCTTGGTCACCAGACATAAAGAGAGAGAGAGAGAGCATCTGCAGAGCCACAGCTTCGAGAGCAGTATTTCTCGACGCCAGCCCAGTGACACCACAATCCTGGTAGTTGACCACAGCCTATGGGGCATGGCAAGCATTATGCAAACTATCCAGGAACCCATGTCATGTGTGAACTCAGGAACAGGACCAAAGTGACAGCTGCACACGGTAAAAGCCAATTAGGCTATTGGAAGCAGCAGGTAAAGAATGACCGGGGGATACGGGTTTGACCGAAGCAGACTACTAGATCCTATACGCTGTGCAATGACTGAGCACGATTTGTGAACATACAAGAGTCGCATCAGCATGCGGCCTTCATCTCGCGAATATAAACAGTGATCACAAAAACACACGAGAGACAGAGAAAGACAACACGAAGAAACAACCACTTTATGAAGTCTCTTTCAGTGTCCCGTGTGTTTCTGCGGTTACTTTTCCTTATCATAGACCTTAAAAAAAAAGAGAGAGAGAGAGAAAGGGCATTACTGAAGACGTCGCCTCCGTTGCATGATTAGGGAAAGTAACTGCAAAGACACATGGGACACAATAAGAGGCAACACGAAGTAACAACCGCTTCATGTTCTCTCAGGGTACCGTACGTTGTTGCGGCTACTTGTCGTAATCATGAATCACCAACTGGCCTACGTCCATACCCTCCGTAACTCCATCTCACCTTGGCTCATGTGCCAGGAGCTGTGTGCCGCCTCTGGACCGTGAATGATTACATCGCTTCGCAGGTCGTGGGGCTCCCTCTTGATCTTGACGAGGCAGTCCGAGCCCAGGTATAGGTTGGGCTCCACCAGCCGAGAAAGGGACAGGGGGTTTTGCGTCGCATTGCCCTCCGTGAAGCCAGCCAACTTGGCTGTGCGACGGGACGCGTACGAGGCAAAGAAATTGCCAAGCTCTTGCACGGACATGGCGGTGATGTGCGGTGAGAAGCGCTCAAAGAAGGTCTGCAGTTCTCGCTGCCCTTCCTCCTCCGTCATTAGCGTGTTGATGCACACAAAGTGGTCAATCTGCGATGAGAGGGCATGAAATATAATTGTGTGCACCCTTGTTGGGCCAACAAATATACCAAAGCACTATGGATGCTCTGGTATCCCAAACACTCGAATGCAGTGGGAACTCCAATCCGATAAGAGGATTGATTCCACTGCAGAAGGGTTTGTTGAAGGGCCAGTTTGCATAGATTCATAGTAAAATTTTGGTAGCACTGAAGAATGGGACACAAAGTGCGGTACTCAAACTAGCAAATACTGGATCTTAGGTTTATTCACATCAAAAATATATACAAAAAACACAGGGAGAAAAGTAAATACAAGAGAAGAGGGTGAACCAACACAACTATCAGTTATATATATATATATATATATACACACACACACACACACATATATACAATATTCTTTGAACATCATTCACGCTTGACCCGACGTATTGTGTGCAAGAAAGAGACGACGAAACTTTCACGGAAGCGTCTTTACTTAACGTTTTGAGCTGGTGGACCAGCCTTTGTCAGAGGCTAGTCCACCAGTTAAAACGTTAAGTAAAGACGCTTCCGTGAAAGTTTCGTCGTCTCTTTCTTGCATATATATATATATATATATATATATATATATATATATATATATATATATATATATATATATATATATATATATATATATATATATATAAGGGAAAGAAGTGTATACTTAAAGGCTCGTTTTTCAGTGTTCTATCACAATATTAATGAGATCTAACATGCAATAATGCCAAGGAATGTATAGGGGTAGTTATTAGACCCAATTGTAATGTAAACGTGAAGAAAGAAAAGTGGGTGAAAAGATAACCTGCCGTCAGCAGGAACCGAAGCTGCGACCTTCGAATAACGAGTTCGCGGCTCTACCACTCAGCTACCACGGCAGCTATCGTCCCAGCCACTTTATAGGGTTTATATGTGAACTTAAGCGCGGGAGTGTCAGTCAGCGCCATCTGTAGCCATGGGGGCGAGTGTGGCACACTCTTTATGAGCCGGTATGGCTTCACGTAGCACATGAACTTATTACGAGCACCAAGTCTGCCTCACTGGCAGACAGAGGCAAACTGAGGCACCAGTCTGCCGTACTGGCAGACTTGGTGCCTCAGCCTCAACCAAAGAGTACGATGAAGATGACGCTCGTTTGCGGCACGTATGGGCGTGAACAATTTAAGAAGGTGCCTATAATTTTTAAAACCACTCGAATCTTGGCCAATCCCACGCCACGATCAATAGGTGAAAAAGAACAAGAACAGGTGCCTCCACGGAGACTTAGGAGAGCCACGGGAGAAGAACAGCGAAGCCAGGCAGACGTGGCTGAGTCGGGATCGAGAGAAGAAAGTGGCCGGGTGCGGGAGTGGAGCCCAGCACAGCTCCTGCATCAAGGTCCCAGCGGGCTCCCACCTGGACACAGAGCTTCTTGTCGTCGCCTGACGTGGGTCAGGCTTGTTCTGGTCTTCTGACGCTGGACAAGAAACGTCTCCGGCTTCGTGTGCGAGCTGCGGCCGCCAAACGCCGAAAGGTCACTGACTGCGACCTGCCCGACGCTTCCTTCCGTGCCCGTCAACGACGTGAGCATCTCGACCTATTTGCCAGCCTTTCCCTGCTGCACGAGTGCGTCTTCATCGTTACTCCATCGCATCAGTTGCAAGCCCCGCATCACCGCTGTCACCATTTACGTGAGCGCGTTCATGCCTTGGTAGCAGAGCCTCCACTGCAAGCACTGCGTCCCGCTACATTGTGATAAGGGTTATTTTCCACTGAACATTTATTTTCATGCACTGTTCACGTTTTTAGTCGTTTGTTCTTCCTGCTAACCTCTTTCTAGTTATGCATACTGTGTTCTTTGTCTGTTATTTGTCTTTTAGAGGTTTCTGAAATATATTGAGTGTTAGGAATTTGGTGGAAGCAGATGGTCTCGTCGGCTCATTTCTTGATGATGGTTATGTCATCAGTGGTTTTCGCTTTACAGGAACCTACACGAGAGCTTGCCCATTAAACAGCCTCGTGGCAGCCACCCACACACTCCACTCTATTTTGCAACAGACCGAGGCTCAATGGAATTTGTGCCATTGTTGGTATTTTGCGAGGCTATTCGTCCATAGGCTCATCTTCGTCATCGGGGCCTCCAAGCAAGTCTACTATTTTTGCATCCGTAGCTGGGGCAAGAACAGGTGCATCTGCATCAGCCATCGCGAATGATTCGAAGTTGCTTTCCAGATTTTCACCAACGATGCTGAGCACAGCTTCGTAGAGATTATCGCAGTCCTCATCAGCATCTTCTGCGTGCGACCTCGAAAATCCGGCATGTGCAAAGCAGTTTGCAATCTTTGCAGGTGCCAGCTCTTTCCATGAATGGCATAGTAAGTGCATTTTTCATTACGGAACGAAATCGACGAAGACAGAAGGGACACAGACGAGCACTGTGTATACAAGAAACATATTGCAACAGCATTGAAAGTTGCGCTAGTTGATACGGATGCATTTTTAATTAAAGTGTGAAACAGACGAGGAAATATTGCAATGTATTTCTTGTACACCCAACACTCATCTGGGTCCTTCCCCCTTCGTCAATTTTGCGGTGTAACCATAAATGCATTTGTACCAACCAGACAAACTTTCAATACTATTGCATAGTAATTGCACTGCCCTAACAAAGTCGAAACTGTATCCCTTGTTGGCATCATAGGAACAAGCATCCATTGTAAAACACTTTTCCGATATAACTTTCGTGTTGTCTCGGTAGTGCCTTGGTCCATGGGCTGCAATATCGCGGTCGCATTCGCTGGCAGAAATTCCAAAGTGATCACTTGCAGATTTTCAAGCCAGCCATGCCCGAGGCAATTGTCAATAACAAAAAGCACACGGCTTTCTTTGCTCTAAACTTTTGATCAAGCAGGCGCACATACTCTTCGAAAACGGCTGCGCCTAACCAAGCTCGTCTCTTGCTTCTGCATATGCAGTCTTTGGGTATCGTTCCATTGCGGAAGCACTGGGGCTTTGCCACCTTCCCCAGTATCGGCAAAGGAGGCTTGTCCTCCCTCATCGCGTTAGCACCGAACAGCACTGCACCACGTTCTTTGGTTTGTTTACATGCTGATGAGGTTCCACCTGGTGTAGTGTACGTGCGCTTCGGCAATATTTTGTCAATATTTTCAGCAAACACAAAGGATGAGCGCACACGTCACGGGTTCACACAGACCTAGCACAACACAGGTGCACGTCTTTCTTCCAAACACGGATGAACAAAACCCACAGAGCACGCCAAGGCTAGTGCTGGGACACCACTGGCGTGGCGGGGAGCAGCCAGCACGTTTACAAAAAGCGAGCGCCTCCATCGGTCGTCTCCGTACTAGAGTAGGGCGCAGAAGGGGAGGGTAAAAACAGTGCCACGGAGACTCCTCACAGGATGAAGAATTAGTGCCACGATGACTCTCAAGCCATCTGCACTGGCGCACTTTACTTTAGCCTGGTGATGCTAGCGCGAACATTGCTCGCTCCGGGCAGAAAAGGTCACTTGGCGTGGTACGTAGATGAAAAGGCGCGCAGGTACAGTGCCAAGGTCGGCGTTCGCTCACCCGCTCTTAGCGCCACTGTGAATACGCATCCGCAACTTGTAGCTTCGCTCTAAACGGACCGAGCTAATGACATGCGTCGAGCGATCCCGTCTAAAATACATGCATTTGGGTTGGGACTACAGGACACTGTGATAAAAGGGATCATTCAAATAAAGCGAGTTCCTCGTAACGAGGGTTTGCTGTACGGTGCATGACTGTGCACTGCAGATGTATTAGTCACTGGCCAGTCAGCTTGGTTAACAAAACTGTCGTTGAGAGCTGGCAATATTAACTTACAAAGCTTGCTGTGAACACAGACCCCAATTTTCATGAAACGCAGCACTTATTCAATTAAAATCAATATATGTCAATATTGTCCAATCTCGTACGTAAAAATGGCACGTGTTCGCACCTTCGGAGGGTCTCATGCACCTGCACCGCATTCCAGCACCTGGCACATGCCTCGTGCCCTCTTACTCATGATATTGGCCCTTAAAACATTTTTTTAAAACTGCTCTTGTCCTCCTCCAGGATGCGGTCTTCTGTTCTCTTGCTGTAAATGTTACTTGTCATCACTCAAACGCAGGCTGGCATGTCACCTTCCATCCTTGCACGCTTTTGCTTGTCACAGCATCACACAGTTCACCGATTCACTGCACCAATACCTCACAAAAGGCACCCTCTATGTTCCCATAGCTCATTGTTCAGTACACACTAGTCCATAATCTTTATAAAATTTCACAACGTCAGTGGCACTTCACTGGCAACATCGTGCACAATATCTTTTTGCACACCGATTTATGTCTTTGTGCACTCTTGGCCAAAATGCCTCCCTAGCCCATTCGCTGCGTTGGCTTTTAGAATCTGTAAACCCACTGCCAAAGTGGTGTTCTAAGATACTCTGCCTATAGCATGCTGGCACTATCACTTGTCTAATCAGATCTATACTTTTTTTAAACTTCCTGAGTACCTATGCCCTACTGCAGTGGTTCTCAAATGGCGGTCCGCGAAGCCATTTCTATGATCCGCGAAACCCTCACCCGCATTTTTTCTTAAGGGGAGACGCGGGTCGAAAAGTCGCGGTTTTCCGGAAAATTTTCGCTTTTTTTTTTCCGGCTGTATTGGCATCCTTGGACTATAATCTATTACTTCTGAAAATATCAAGCTGAAATTCGCACGAGAAATTATCAAAAAATGCTTCCAAGTGGGCAGCGGTGACGCGAGAAATGCGCGAAAGTCACGAAAAACGGCGAAGTTTGCGTCGTCCTGTCGCGAAAACGACGCGTTGGCCGCCATTTGCAATCGTGCACGCATGCTGCGAAGGCCGTATCCTTCATAATCCACTAGTAGCCAGTCTCGTGCCTTCACGCAGAATAAACAAAAAACGAGAAAAACAACGCTTACGTCACGCGTTTTGAATATCGCGGCACACAGCGCGAGGCCGCCATTGGACGGCGGTGCGCTCCACGCTCCTCCCCCTCCTATCTCTCCGGCAAAAGAGCGAAGCCTCGGACGTCGCGATCGAGTTTTTCTGCGTTTCTCTGCATTTTTGCGTCATGGCAAGCCTGAAGAAGTGCAGTTCAGATAATCGAAAGTTCAGAACTCGCCACAAGTATCGAGGGAAACGGCGTCGGACGCTTCGCAAAGCGACAGCGAACGACGATGTCGCCCCCGACCAACGCCCCGATGCTCCGACTTCGGATAGGCCTAACACCGTCACCGAACCCTGCGACAGTGGTTGTGAAATAGCCGCTGCCGTGGAATTCGTCAGTGCATCCCAAAGGAAGATTGGATTCTTCGAGAGTGAACGTAGACCGGTAGATGCTGCTACTGCGAACATGCTGCTTTGCGAAATCGATGCGCTGACGGCACTTGTGGCGGGTGCGCAATGCCCAACCTGCCGCGAACGGAAGCTCGGCGTGCGAAAGGCAGCTGGAAAGCGCAAAGGACTTTCGGCATTCCTCGAACTGTGCTGTCAAAATTCTGATTGCCCTGAATCTGCACTTTCGTTCACGCACACGTCGAGACGTACTGCTTCGGCCGGGGACCAAGGAACGAGCGCTCGTTTTGACAGCGGCAGCTCGCGTGACAGCTTTGCTGTAAACGTGAAGGCAGTTCTGGCAGCACGCGCTATAGGCGCAGGCCACGACCAACTTTCACGATTTTGTGCGATTCTCGGTCTTCCGAGCCCGATGCATCACAAGACATTCAACGGCATTTGCAAGAAGCTCCATGGTGCGGCGATGACGGCAGTGAGCAAAAACTTGCACCAGGCACGAAACATCACGAAGGACGCAGTCGGCGGCAGAGATGTGCCAGTCATGTTTGATGGCACCTGGCAGAAAAGAGGTCATAAAAGCCACAATGGAGTGGGCACAGTCGTGTCCCTGGACACGGGGCTCTGCCTCGATTTTGAAGTTCTTTCGAACTACTGCCATGCTTGCAGTATACACAGGGACCTTGGGGAGGATGAAGAGATATGGCGAGCTTTTCATCTTCCAGTTTGCCAAAAAAACACTGACTGCTCATCCCATGCAATGGAACCTGCGGCAGCTGTCAATATATGGCAGAGGACCTTGTCTTATGAAACTCCACTGCGATTCACCAGCTTCCTAAGTGATGGTGACAGCAAGGCCTACACTGCAGTCTGCGAGGCAAATGTATACTGTGACACCCCCATTGACAAAGAAGAGTGCACGAACCACGTTGCAAAGCGCTTGGGAACTGCCCTACGGAAATTGGCAACGCCACTGCCACGAGGCGAAAAACTGAAAGATGCGACAATAATAAAACTACAAACATATTACAAGATCGCCATCACGAGCAACAAGGACAGTGTCCGAAATATGTACACTGCCATATGGGCATCGTATTTTCATTGCTGCTCCAGTGATGGTGCCAGTAGCCACAACTTTTGCCCCGCGGGACCAAATTCGTGGTGCAAGCACAAGCGTGCGGAAGCACTGGGGGAGCCTGCACCACGCCACACCCCACTGTTGACGAAGGCTCAAGGATTGGCAATTATGCCTATCTACAAGCGCCTTACAGAGGAGAAACTCCTTATTCGGTGCCTTCATGGCAAGACACAGAATGCAGCCGAATCGCTGAACAGCAAGATATGGCTGCTATGTCCAAAAACAAAGTTCGCCTCCAGAACAACTGTGGAGACAGCCACCGCTCTTGCTGTACTCTGGTACAACAAAGGCCACAGGGGCTTTGAAGAAGTGCTCGAAGGCATTGGAATTCTCCCCTCACAAGATCTGGCCACACATGGTGACCACTGTGACGTCATGCGCATCAGGAAGATGAACCTGAAGCAAACTGCAGAAGCGAGGGCACACCGTCGCAACACAGCGAAGAGAGCTCGTGTTGAGGACACTGACCGCAAGAGCCGTGAAGGACCAAGCTATGGTGCAGGGGACTTCTAGACACTTGCAGTGCATTCAAGGCAAGGTACTTTTCATTGTGCCCCAATTTGATGCAAAAAGAATGATTTCCTAATAAATGCCAACTTTGCGAACTTTCAAACTTGTTTTTCTCATTTTCATTTTTTCTGACAGTTTCACGTTTTCCGGGCAGCCTTTTAGAAACTTATATTCATTGTATAGTAACGAAACTTGGCACACATATTTTTCAACACATGCAGAATGCAAATATCTACTCTAAATTGCAATGCCTACCAGCATTAGTTGTGAAAATATTAGCTTATTGTTTCAAGGGAGATTGAAAATAATAAGTCATTCAATACAATTTTTTTTATCTTGGTTCCAATATTTCTGTGACATATCTATATAGATATTTGCACTTTTCAATCTACCAAGAGTCAAATAAGATCAGACACAGTGCTTTTACTGAAAGTTTAGTACATAAAAGAGTTCCCACAAAAAATGCAACTTTTTGCTATTGTTTATGGCATAACTCAATAATTATAGCAGCTACACAAAAAATGATTGCATATTTGAAATCTGCATGAAAAACTATACTAATAACAAACTTTTCAAGTCTCTATTACTAGAAATAAAAAAAAAACTTTTTTAACTTTTTCGAGGAGCGTCTCCCCTTAAGCGTGACTGCACCACATATTGATGAACTGTCCATAATAAAGTGATATGGCACATTTGTTTGATGTTTTCGGTAGCAATAAAAGGCACTTGTATCACACTCCAGTTGTGTTAATTTACCTACGTACCCCCCGCCCCCCCCCCCCCCTCCCCACCGCTGCAGGGGGTCCCCCATCACTTCCACCAGTCCCAAGGGATCCACGACACATTCGTGGCTGAGAACCACTGCCCTACTGATTCATACACTACTCCATCTCTATACTCTTCTTGATTTATCCCCTATCCTGTTTATTGCGTACCTCAGGCTTTTATCCTTTCTCTGCTCTTTTGCAAGCTCCTCTGAGGATATACCTAAACACTCCAAAAATGTTGCTGTGTGTCTCATTTGTGCAAAAAAAAAAAAAAAAGAGTACAAAGTTCACACTACAGTAGACTCTCAGTAAACGAAAATCTGTTAAACGGAACTAATGCTTAAACGGAACTATTCCCTCTGCAACGCTTGGTTTCGAGCTTGTATTCTACACCCGTGTTCACCTCTAAGTAAACAGAACTCCTGTTAAATAGAACATATTTTCCCGGTCCCTTCAGGTTCCGTTTACTGAGAGTCTACTGTATTTTAAACTTTCGCAGCTGCTAAGTGTTATTACTAGCACCAAAAAGCTCACCTGCATTGTGCCTTGGTCATACTGCAGATAGCCTGAAGAACGGAGGAAAATGAATGCATCGTCACGAGTCCTCAGACGATAGACAACAACACCTTTCCCTGAGTTGCTGGCTAGCATTTGTTTCTGTGCAAACATGGCGATAGCCATGTCACTTGGGTGCAGGTACGTGTGGGCTGACACTCCCAACACCTCGTGGGGAAGGTGACCCGTCAGAGTAGACAGCCTGAAAACACGAGCACACATTCAGTCCCACATGCAGATAACGGATACAAGCATGAGCTCCACACATGCAAGCACCATGATTTATCACTTCATAACATTCAGGACTTTTTTGTCACAGTGTGTGTTTTATTGACCAATACCTCTTTTCCACGAACCGCCTTAATCACATTTAGGGTAACTGCAGTTATGGCTAATCATGGCTACAGGTGGCTATACGGTAGACGTAACTACAGTTAGTCTCCGAACTGTTTACCGCAAGCTGGGTTAGGCAAGTACAGTTTAAGGCATGTCCAGACTACATGCGCTACGCACAGATCCTCAGTAAGGATCGTAAGCGTATAAGCAAATAACGTAATGAGCTTGTTTAGACGTTGTGGTACTTAGCATAAAGTACGTAACGTAAGAGATGTTAATGTTGCCGGGCCCACGTCTTTTACGACAAATACTGATGCGACCTATATGTACGACCAATAAGCAAAGCAGTTTCGGTTTTCACTTTCTGTTTCAGGGCTTACGGCCTGCCCAGATTCTGTCTTTTCATGGGCATCTTGAAAGCCATGCAGTAGTGCGTCTGTGTACTTGGTTTGCTGGGCTAGACGGCAGATGCTGCATGTATTAATGATAGCGCTCGTTGCCGCCTCCCCTTTAACTCAACCAGCCCAACCATAACCAAACATGCGAACCTCGCTAGGCTACAACAACTGTAACGAGGATGCAATGCACATTAAATGTAATGAGTGGCTTGAAGAAAAAAAAAGTAATGTATCGTAGAATCAATGTGAGCATAAATGGCTGCTAGCTACACAAATGGGCAATACAGCTTACGCGATACGACTCTTATGTTAGATGCAACAACAGTCTGAAGTCGGCTTTATCCGCACGATCAAAAAGGTCCGCTTGCAACTTGTCAAGATGGCTGACAAGATGCAAGTGGAGCAGTCTTTAGGTGATGCAGCTCAGCAGCTTCACTGTGTTTGAACATTTTGATGGAATGCAACTACAAGTTCTTTAACAATAGTCTAGCAAAATTCGTGGACAAAGAGGTTCCCTGTGGAACAGCCAATAACAAAGATTACTCTGTCCTCAGCAAGGGCAGCGAGAATACTGCCAATTGATACAAGTTTCATGAGGGCAACTGCCTTTCGTACTGTTCATATCTAGCTGGCCTCAATGAGCCACAAACACTTATCATGTATTTGAAGGCGGAGTGCTTCATCTGAATTCGCTTTCTGCACAGTCTGTCGTGGAGGTGTGGGAGTGCTTTATCGTGCCACAAGACTTGCCAAGGGAGCATCCAAACTTCTCACTGACCAAATGTTCAGCACGGGAGTTCGCCAGCTTGTTCAGCTGAACCAACTGAGACCGTATAGAAATGGCAAACCGTGTTTGCATTAGCTGTCCATGTGACAGAAGTATAATAAGCCAATGTAAAGAAGACGTAATGGTAGAACTGGCATGCCTCCCATTAAAATCACTCATAAGTTGCACAGTTCTAAAGTTTCCTTCGCTTCGAAGACAGTATACCTAGCGACATCTTTCTGTGGCATTACAGCCAAAGCTATGCGGGCAAAGCTGCTGCACATGAGTCACTACGTCAAGTAGTCTGTTTATGTGCAATTTCCGTTTCGGTTTTGCAACTGCATCCAACACGTACATTTCCTACGGGGATCCAGGGTTTATGATGTTATTTTGAAACAGTATTTTAAAAAATAGTTGAAAGCTATGACAAGCCTTCAGATAGTCATGGATATGCCAGCGAAGGAAAAATACATGAAATCATTCCACTAATTCCATTATAATGGTAACCTGCCAGCGGTTCAAGGCAGCGTGCAAAACAAGCAAGATACAGTAATGCTTGCATTTGTTTTTTTTTGAAAGCAATAAAACACAGGAAGCAGCTTTATGGAAGCAGTAAGATTTAATTTAGGAAAATAAAGGGCTTGGTTGAGCAGAAACTGTGTGATAGGGAATGCAACGCAAATGGCTTCGTAGCCTTAGCTGTGCTGCCACAGAAAGATGTCGTGAGGTATACAGGGCCAGTGTTTTCTTTTTCTCCGTTTCTGCCCTCGTTTTCGACAAGTGAAGAATCGCCCTCCCACCTGTGGTCCGCAAATATAATGGTGCCGTCGAGTTTATGCCGTGTGACATACTCGTCTTGGCAGGCCTCCCGTAAGGAAAGCTCCTTGTACGGGTTAGTGTTGACCAGCCGCACAAAGGTTTTGAAAAGGCAATTGGAACTTGGACTATCGGCCTTCTCCGAGGCTGGCCCAGTCAGGTGTCCCACCACCTGGATTACCTGCGAGAGAACTACCTCGTCAGCGATGGCGCAACACTACAATAGGTCAAAAAGGTCACTACCAAAGTTACAGTTTCACTTCCACCCAAGATGTAGCTGCTGCATCCATCGACTGCATTTGCGGCTGTAGTGCCAGAAAAAAAAAAACATGGCAGCCACATGTGCTATGAACAATACTTTATGAAATGTTCATAAACGATGCTTACAACTCTATTGCTTGTTAGATTTATAACAGTGTACACACTTTCGTGAATATCCCCCCCCCCCCCCCTTCTTTTTTATTTGAGGTTGCTATTACCAAGAGCGATTCTTTCTATATTTATGTAACTGGCCCATTACAAGTGCAACCACTGCCTTATGCAAGCCACACCGGAATGTCTAGGAAAATTCCAGATTATTCAGGATCTCGTGATAACCTTGCGTGCACAACATGAACAATGCAGTTTATTCTGGAACTGAAAGCAGCCACCACCAATAACGCTGGAATCTTTGATGCCACACGCATAAATGCCACTGGCCTTACAGGTGATAAGAGTACTCGAAAGCAGGCACCTGTTCTCGCCGATGCACGTGCACAGTGTTCATCGCTTGTACTTTGGCGTCCAATTTTCTAAGCACACATTGGCCTAATAAAGAGCTCCGTATTTCCCAGTCTTGCCTTCTCTGCCATCACAACTACGCGACACTACTTTGTTCCATACCCATTTCTTAAACAGATCAGTGTGCCACGAGCAGGCACAGTAGAGAGGGACAGAACTTGCCTGGTAAGTGAGCACCTCGGAGCGAGGTTGGCTGCGCTCGCGAATGCGGCAGAAAAAAGAGCATCGCTCTGAACTGATCCAGTCGCCTCGGCGCTTCATGGGCCCCCTGACCAGCGACTCAAAACAGTCGTGTACGGCCTGCACGTCCGCGGAGTGCAGGAAGGTGAAGATGGAGTGGCCAATCATTTCAATCTGCAATTAGAGACGTGACTGCTATCACCTCTGCGAAGTACTAGCGCGTGAACAGCATGAATTTATTTCATCCAGCTACGGCTGCAGAAACACTTAGAACCCCTTATGTCTACTTTGCATGCAACCCCACAGCTTTCCTTTCGAGCTTGTCACAATAAAATCAGCATTGTCAAAAATGGCTGTTATGAATGTATAGACAAATGACTGCTTTAAACTGTGAACCAAGCTAACTCTAGCTATTACACGTAAATTCGTAGCTTCAAGACTGCAAAAACGTTACCCTTTTTGGTTCTTAAAATGAGCAGACATTTTAGAAGACATCTTTACAAGAAGGTTGCTTAAGCTTAAACTGAATTTAAACATATGGCAAAATGTTTAGCATACATCCCAAAATGCTTATGGAACAAAAAAGCAGCCATTGAGTAATCAGTTGGTTCAAAGTGTAATTATAAATAAAGAATATAAGGAAATATAAGGAATCCAAACGCAGTACAGGCTAGGATCCCACTACAGAAATCAGTTTAACTGGTGCTTCAATCAGCAGTGCACTCTGGCTTGCCAAGAAACTGCCTGCAATAATAATTACAGGGCTAAAGTAATATGACATCGAACAGTACTATGTACTGTGGGAACACTGAGCACTTTTAACACAATGCCACTCTTCAGTGGATGTTACAGTTAAGAAAAATGCAGACACAATCAATGGAACCTAGCAAACTCAGACAACCGATAAAGAAAAAAAAAAAGGCTGTCTTCCGAAGGAGCAGATTGTTCTGTAGTCAGAGACAGTGGCAATGCACTTGCACACCTATCTCGTATTTTCTTTTCCTTTTTTTTTCCTTTCTGTGGAAATGCTCTCAAAGCTCCCCTATTCACTTGCTTCCTAGACTTGCTTCCTAGACTAGACTTTGATAGCACAAAGCATTTGGTATCAAAAGGAGACAGAGCACGAACACCTACAACAATGGCCAAACCACATGACCGTTAGTTAGCAAAGCTCCTTTTACAGCACTCCATGCTGCAACATAGTGCATTATACAATTGAACAATTGTGTATGCTCTGAGAAGAGCATAATCAGTTACCAACATATAGCAAAGAAAACACGACCTTGTTCTTACTAACGTCAGCATGCAAAGAATATGTGCTTATAACCATGAAACAGAAGTATTTTTGCACCAGACTCAAACTCATTATACCAGGCTTCATCTGAATCTGTTCTCACAACAAGAAAATAAAGGCTTAAAGAAGGAATTACTGGTGTTTGTACCACACTGCATACTCTAAAGAAAGGCCTTGTTATTTTTTTTTAATGCTTCCTCAGACCCATCAAGTTCAAAATGCTGTCGCTCTAGACCCCCAAATGCCAGAAATTCCTTCTGAGCAACAAAACAGCAATTATGATAAACTTACATTTTGATGGCCGAGAAAGCGCTCCACTGATGGGGAAATGTATATAATCTTGCCCGTTGTTGAGGTCACTAGCACAAAACCATCGACAACCTGCATAAGAGGTGTTGACACTCACATGGTATACGAACTCTGAGAGCATAAAATATGCCAGCTTCTTTGACTATTGTTCAAGGCACTTAAAATTCAATGTATTCCCTGGAGGTTCGAGCCTGGCATTTCAAAAGTTTCTGAACAATACTTTGCAAAGAGTGGAAAAAAAAAATTTTCACAGATAACATAATTAATGTCCTTTTACAGCTGTTTTAAAGGGAGATGTGAGTAAAAAAATGCTAGTTTTTTCCAAAATTACATATTTTTCATTTTTATTAACTTTCACCAGTCTATACTTTATTATTTTTGTAACAAAAAAATTGACAATTATAATTAAACACAAAGTAGATTAAAATTGCTTTAAAAGAGCACAATATGGCTTCTGAAAAATAAGAGCCGAGAAATCATCTCCTGTTGCCATTACGGCGAGTGTGGGGCACTCATTTCTTGACTGGCATCCAGTAGCACATGATCTTATTATGAGCTGTGATGGCAACGGGCGACACTGACTGATGCTCCCATGTTTAATGCACATACATTCTCTATAAAGTGGACAGGGGGGACAACCCCCCATGGTATCTCACATGGTAGAGCATCGGACGTGTTATTCCAAGGTCGCAGGTTAGGTCCCTGCCCATGACAAGTTATCTTTTTGTCCACTTTCTTTCTTCCGAATTGCATCACAATTACCGCCCTTTTACTTTCCTGGGCGTAACAGTCTGTCAGTTCTTATTAATATCATGTCTATCAAATTATGCTTGCAAAGTAACCTTGTACATCATTTCCACCAGTACTAAATGAAAACTTTGACCACGTGTCCAGTAGAGACATTTCAAAAGCATACGTGGCACAATATTTCCAAGAATATAGAATCCCACGACAATGTTACAAACAAATGCATGGATGAAACTACAGTCACAAATATGCCAGGCCTTTTCAAACGCCAATCGAAACGAGGCTCAACAGTGTTGAGCACTTGCCTCACCAATGTTGGCTTTGTGACTTGCAACCTGATCTTGTAATTTTTTTTTTGTTTTACACGAGCCCTCTACACCGGATGAAAGTCTTGCCGTATTCTCACTAACTTGTAGATGTACTCGTACGACGACTAATAAAAAAGCTGTAGTGCACAGCAGTACGAGCCTTTCTTCCATACGTGCATACATAAATACACGGTTGAGGAAAACAGAGAAAAACAAGAACGTACCTCAAGGAGATCTTTTAGGTGATCAGTGTTGAGAAATTTAGGCCTCCACTTGGCTTTCGTAACTTTTCCTCGTTCCGAAGCAAGTGACGCTGCAAATGGGTACGTGCTTTGGTTACAATAAGACTAAACATTCATGTCGCCGCACATACAGTGAACTCTCATTGAATGAAAATCTTATATCGAATTGCTCCTTAAACGAAACAACTTCCCCTAATATGATGGATTTCGTACTTGAATTGTGCACGCGGCGGCGGCAGCGCATTTTCGATGGAGGCAAGAGCGTCCGAGGCCAGTGCACTTAGATTTGCCTACTTGCCAAATTCAAGGATTCTGAATTTGCCACATCAGTGTTACACACGAGGGTAGGGTATTCCAAATAAGGTTAGAGTCTCAAAAGGGGAGCGCAGACACTCCCGAAATATTGCGTCATTGAAACAACTGGCGACAGGATATCGCTGTTGTATTCAACTGCTAAAAGCAAAGCTTAAGGGTCCCCTATTTTTTCACGTCTTTATAGCCTTTAATCTACCGCTGCATCAGCCATGTGTCCTCGAAGCTCGTAGATCGCTATCGCGTTACCGCGACCGCAGTTTCGTGAGAGGCGGTTGCGGCAAACAGTAGTTCCATTTTCAATCCGCGTGCACTAGCTGCGCCTGTGCCTTTAAAGCTAATTCGTTATTGCTATCTATGGTTGCATCTTCCGCAGTTTTGTCTGCAGGAAAGCAGCGTCGCTTTGACTAGTCGAGCGCTGGACACGCGCATACTTTTGGAGCTTTGTCAGTTACGTCCTCGCCATACGTGATCGTGTCACGAGCAACAGCGGTTTCGTTCACGGCGGTTGTGGCGAGCCACTGTAGAAGACAGTGCGTGTGCTGGCCGCACGGGTACTTCTGAAGCTCCGAGCACGCTGCTCTCAGCTTTCGTTTGATGATATAGTACTATACTTTAATCCCCTGCCGGGAAGAGGGAAAGTGTTCAGAACATCTGAATTTTGGCCCATTGGACACAGTGAAATTGGGCTGGGATATTTCACAAATTCGTATCTGCTGGCTTTACATTGGCGAGATTTTACTGTACATTCAGATCAACACCTAAATTTGTTTACAATAAAATGCGATGGGTTCGCAAAAAACCTGGTCAGTTGCCCTCTCAAAAAAGAAAGTGGTCTTTTTGTCTGATTGATTGCATGAGCTATAAGAATGGTTTTATGATCTTCATTTTTCTTTTACTATCACTTTTGTTTCTTTTTTTTTTCATAGCACAAGTACACATGCTTGGTTTGAAGAATAAGTTTTTATTGTAAGTCAGCGCTCTATATGTGTCCTTCTTAGTTTGGTATCTCATTTTTCGCGCTCTTCCTTTTTCACTGTCAAACTAACACGCCCCAGCACACTTTTACTGCATTTATTGTCTCTATAGTAGAATTGCGATGTTAAACCTCAACAAATATTATATATATTGAATTGTGCACTTGTTCCCCTTTCAGTGAATGAAACTCTTGTTCTATGGAATATTTTTTTCTCGTCCCTTGAGGTTCCATTAAAAAAAAAAAAAAGCAACATGACATGATGCAACATAAACCTCACAAAATAAAAAAAAAACAAAGATGCAACATTACTGTAATTTCGCTAGCACTAATAATGTTCCATTTATTGAGCGGGTGGGTGTCAGGTTGTTGCACAGAGGAAAAAAAAAGAAAAAAAAAAGATGAAGCAGTTCTTTGAAATTAACAGCCTACTGCCACTGTGTCACCCTTAAAATGGTGCAAATTGTGTACACGTTTACTATATAGGAAACCATTATAATGCATGCAACCCTTTTGGTGCTTTCAAGCAAAACTAAATAAAATGTGAACGGACGTATGCAAATTGACAGGGCAACATTTATTCAGAAAATGCAAGAACCTATGGACTCACTTTGCTACAACTTTTGACGTGGCTGCATCAATGACCTGTACATGCCACTCAGCTGAGGGCGGGTAACTTCTCACAGCGCGTGGTGTTGTGCAAATGCAGTGTCTACTTACTAAGTGTATTCCTTAACAGCAGCAGTATCTGGCTGACCTCTAGGACAGCAGGCACAAACATGGTTAAAAAGATAAAAAAGAACGCTCTGCCATTATATGCTTATCATGCCAAAGGCCGAGAGGCTCCCTCTCTCAGAGTGTGAAATGCCGCTAAGCAACTAAAACTTCAAGTGGGCTGTTCCACCCGCTTATCTCGGTTGAGTATGGGGCAGGCATGAGGAATACGTCTTACTCTGATAAAACCGGAGGTGTGCAGCGCTGAGCCGGAGAATGCTGGTCTTGTCCAGCCGCTTGGAAGCCATGGAGACCATGGGCACAATGTTGGCCAGCTCATTGATGTAGCTGTTTAACTTGTCCCGTCGCTGCTTCTCGGCAAAGTTTCGTTGCATTCGGCTGCTTGAACTTTCCATGGCATACGCGAGGGGCGAGCTGACGGGACCCTTAGAAGGGGCGCTCTTCATGGACATTGTCATCACTGCCATTGGAAGACCACTACATCACCACCCCTGGAAACACGCAATTCTTTTAATACATGCACTGGAAAACTCTGCATATGCGTTTTCAAGAAAAAGAACTTTCGTCAGCTAAAATGCACCTCGTGGGAGTGTTTCATTTTTATGCTTAAAATATTACACCTAGCAGATAGTTCATTAACATCACTGAACAGGTCTGTCTGTAGTGGAATAAAGGCCTCATACAGTGTTGGAGCCAGAAAAACTCTTAGTGCCCCACCTTGAACCATGAAATAAAGGCACCATTTGTTGCCCTAGACTGACTGGAGGGCAGAGTGTAGACCACAGAAAATATACAGATGCCATGTCCTTGACTGCCGCCGTTCACAGTGTTTGCCTATAGCTGTCCAACTTGTACTTGTGTGCTGGCTCTACAGAATTCACTAATAGGCCATTAACTAATGAGGTTGCATTAGTCCCCTGGCCTGGTACCAACAATGCAACTGTAACCATTAGAGTGGCCGTAGCCTTCCTAGAAGCTAGTGGACAGGACGCACAGCCAACTTGATGGAGCTGTATATAGTACTCACCTTCCTAGCTTACCATTGCCATTCATAACTCTTTTTATTACCCATTTTTCTTCCTCGATGCAAAGCAGCAAGCCTGAGCATACTATTGCTCAGGCTGAACTCTCTCTAACATCTATGAATAAACATCTTTTTCTATTCACAAAACAATTTAATGTTGCAGTCACTGTGCAGCCAGAAATAATCGTGCTGCAGTCGGATAATTGTTTGTTTCCAAACATAGTAAACAGTGGAAACCCTGAAGCAGCAGAGGGCATGGAGGAACAGCAAAGAGCTAGTGAGGCTCGAAATGAAAGCACCTCAATGGACATCTCACTTTCTTGTTCATTTACTGCAAAGTGAATGCTGCTTTGTGTGTGTGCGTATATTTTTTTTCTGCACAATGCTCCCTCCTAGCACGAGATAGCAAATCAGGCACATCCTTGTAAACATTGATGCACACTGGCATCCCCAGTGCAGCATATTGGGTAAGTCGTAAACACGCCAATAAGCATGTGGTGACACTAGCCATAAAATCTTTGTCACGGTCACTGGCAACTCATAGATAGACGCAAGTTCGAAACCAATATAAATATTTGCAATGCAAGATTCCCTAACTATTGTAATTAATGAATACATTTTATCAAGAGCAACATGTGCGCAGGTGGTAGAAGCTTGCGCCTGGCAGACAGTGCTTTGTCGCAATCTTATTCTAACCTCTTGGCGGGCCTGCGAAGCAAGCGCCAAGCCTTAAGCACTCGGATAAAAGACAATCACATGAGTTAATACTCTGTGTAGATAAGCTCTACATTTCTGTGCTCGTTCGCTCTTCTAAAAATATATTTTTGAATCTGTTTAACAGACTAAATTCAGTACAGTATCTTGGTTATTTTCTTCTCACTGAAACAGTGACAAAACAAACCTTGGAAGGGTAGCACAAGTGGACACAGACTAAAAGAAGGCACACTAACACACACACAGTAGCACTCTAGCAACTTGTTTTTTATTGGAAATATGCCCTACATGTACAAATCGCTTTTTCGATCACATGACTAATTGAACTCTTCAGCATACTACATTTGCATTGCTAAGAAAGCTGACACAAAGGGAAACTAACTGAATGTGCACACAAACTTTGTTAGGAGGAGCTGATGCACAGACAAATTACTGCAGAGATGCTGACAAGATATTGTGGACATGGTAAGCAGCTGCGCAGTGCTCTGATATCTTGATCTCTTGCTCAAAATATGGAATAGCGAGAATCGCCAAAGAAAGCTTGTCGTATATTCAAAACAATGGAACTATGGAGGGCTGCACACTACTGATTTTGACACGCATTCACACATGCACTATCGACAGATGTCTATGTCTACAGTTAAGCCTTTTTTATTTTATTTTAGAACCGAATTTCAGCACTATCTATGACTAGACACAGTCTTCTGCTTTTCTTGTCGCCATGGTGTATTTATAAGAGGTGATAAACTTCACTGGACTGTGTACTTAGGCAGAGATGCTAGTAGAATTTTTAATTTAACTGGCCCTAACACAAGTGTGAAAGGCACAGCAATGCCTTTCAGCAGCAGCTCGTATTCCCAAAGTATTCTGTGGCTGGATGTACCTCTGTGGTCGGCACCTATGCAGTGAGCACACAGAGCTCTAGCGTTGCTCTCCCGATTTCATGAAAATGTACTCAGTACAGATAGGCCGGCCCACTGATTTGCGTGCACTGACAAACGTCAGGGCAGGCGCTTTCAGATAGCCTTTCGAAGTACCTCCAGGACAGATTGCAGCATCAACCAATAGATAAGCGGCGTGACTCATGTGATGAGTACAAACACGTAAACAAAACTGGCTCTTCCCCATAGAGATGCTTTGCTTGCTTTGTGAGGTTGTGCACCCTTTTGACAACAGCCTGTCGCTTATTGAGAAGAATGGAATGGAATAAAAAAACTTCATTATTGTCTTGCCAGATGTACTTAGCAGGCATCTCGCATGCAGGGACTGACAGAGAATGCCTAGCCGCTGCTTCGTGGGCCTGCTGGACGGCCTATTGCAGGTCAATCAGAAGTGAGCTTTTAAGAGACCTCTCCCACTTGTTTGAGGTAAAATCGGGATGAGCGTTTCTACACTCCCAGAGCATGTGTGTGAGTGTTCCCGTGTGTCCGCACGAGGGGCACATGTCGCCGAGGAAGAGAAGACTCAATTTTACTTCTTGTCACTAATCTTGCACGAAAATTCTTCTGTGCAGCCTTGGTCAGAAACACAGTAAAGTAGATAGATAGGCATACGCAGGGGGGAAGGGAGGCACACTTTGCCTAGTCACCTAAGAAGGAAGAGGGGGGGGGGGGGGGATGGCACGCACACAGTTTACTTGCTTTATACATTAAACAGATTTAGTTGCGCATTTGCAACAGCCGTACAGACACCGCCTCCGATTGCGAATGGCTGGCAGGCTGCGTCCGTACGACTGCTGCGGACGTGCAACCAAATTTGTTTATTGACGTAATAGAGAAGGGGGGCGCTGCGATGAACCTTCCGCCCCCTGAACTGCAATCCTGCGCACATCTACAATTTTTTAGGCCTTCAAAAGGAAACAGCAGGCTCAATAAGCTGCTGAATTGGTACCAAGATGATATGTCAGAAATGCGAAAGGTGCCAAAAGTATGCATGCTTAAATACCTTCATAATATAACTTCATTAACTGAAGCACACATATAAATTATAATATTCCCTCTACTAGTAAACAAGGTATGATTTAATTCCTGAAAGCATGTACAACATCAACACTGAAAGCCTAATGAAGTCACTGGCATCTACCACAGCGTGGCCTATTCAGGTCACTCTAATATGAATGTATGCAGTTCCAATCCTCGCTCCTCCCCTACCTCCATTCACTGTAATGCAATAGGCTGCTTTCATAAATCATCTAGTCAATAAAGGAAGAACTGACTGGTTCCATAAAAAATGTGTTCTTTTACACACACAGACATACACTGCATTAGGAAGCTGTAAGTGATGTGGAGTGTTGTAAACTGCAAAATATATTCCCCCAACACGCACAAAAACTGGAAACACTAACGCTGCACTACTTACGTGGGGTGATGATGTCCTCGTTTCCTTATAAACACCAATCACAGAGCAATCTCAGCCTCCTCACGACAGTGACCGGCAACAACATCTGCACGAAATAGGGTGATGCCAAAATGGGCTTTGAAATCTTGTCAAAGCTTGAGTATATTGCTATCAAATGTCTAAATATCAATATTAAAGCCCACTTTTAACTCGGATCAAGGACTCAACAAAGGAGAATCAGAAAGGGAGTTGCGTGAGGAGGAACTGGTTTGGCCACTGAGGCAGTTTATCTCAACCTAGAAATTCAAAAACCTACACCAATTACTAGTAAGGAGAACCTAAACTATGATCAATGTGATTATGAGAGTCGCCGTAGTGGAGGGCTCCAGATATTTTGACCTCCTGAGGTTCTTTAATGACAATATTGATGTAAGCATGCATAGGCATCAAGCATTTATGCCTCCACCGAAAACGTGGCCGCTGGGGCCAGAATTGGATTCTGTGACCTGTGGGGTCAGAAGTCAAACACCATAACCACCAGACCACCAAGGCAAGTTCACCTTATCCTTATTAGGCATTCTAAAGAAAAATGTCGCTGCTTGACTTATTTTTGAAGCCTCTTGCTTTTGTCAGTCAACAACATTATGAAGCAATAATCCCAAGTTTTAGAGTGCTTCCACGGTTTCTTGATATGACCATATAAAATTCTTGAATGCATTAAGAGACGAGCTTAAGTTATTATAAAACTGCAAGACATTGATGAAACTTCTATAGACTGTTGCCATTGCTTTTGATATTAAATGTGAAGCATTTCTTTGCATACTGCAAGCACTTTTAGCGTCTGTCTGTCAGTTCTACAGGCAAAGGTTCTTGCAAAATATGTTGTGAAATTAAGTGTGCAACATTTTGAGATTTCTCTTCATTGCTGCCGCGTACATTTTTGCGATTATGGGGTTTGGTCTTGAGGATGACTTTATAAAGAACGAGGCTGTTTCGGAAATTGTTCCTTGTTCAGCCCATACAAAAAACTATTATCATCATAAACAGGTATGCAACACAGAAATGGGTAACTCCCAATTTTCACCACTGGCCCACTAAAAATAAAGGTAATACTTAGCCCAACAAGCGGGTATGTACCATCGAAATTTGTGCGGCCTATCAGATTTCTGGATCTGTCACCTTAGTTAGGTGGCAACAGGTTGTGATCGTGGCAAAACATGCATGTTTGGGTTCTGGTTTTTGTTTAGCTTTGTTTTCACCTGCTTGCATATATATGTATGTATATATATTGTGGCGAAGCCTTCGAACAGTGGGTTGTCCTCTCCAGCGCCTTCTAGTGGGTCGCTTTTTTTAGCAAAAAGAAGAGCAGCTCGTGCAGAGAGTGCATTGACTGTCGCTGTCAAGCATCATCCACAAGTGTCCGCCAATAAACGTCTCAACAATTTGGTGGAGGTGCTGTGCCCTTCTAACACCTTTGGTTAGCATTCGATGCCCTTGGAGCTTCGATCCCGCACCGTGCCTTCTACCATGCACCAAGACGCCGCGCAGCAAACGCTTCCTCCTGCGCCGACGCCATGTTCCGGTGTCCCCCGCATCCGCGACCCTCCTGTCTTCACCGGCGCGGATGGCACCGACGTCGAGGACTGGCTCGCTATGTACGAACGTGTCAGCGTCCCCAATCATTGGGACGAGGCAGGTAAACTCGGCAACCTGGCTTTCTACTTTGCGGGCGTGGCCGGCATGTGGTACAACAACCACGCATCCGATTTCCCCACTTGGTCTGCTTTTAAAACCGCTGTCGTCGACGTGTTCGGCCGTCCTGCCGTTTGTAAGCTGCAAGCCGAACAGCGGTGACGTGAACGAGCCCAGCAGACCGGTGAGTCCTTCACAAGTTATATAGAGGACATCCTTGACTTGTGCAAGAAAGTGGACGCGAGCATGGCAAAGGCTGACAGAATTACCCATGTTCTAAAAGGCATCGCCGACGATGCCTTCACTATGCTCCTGGCCAAGAACCCTCGCACTGTGGCAGAGATCATTACACTATGCCAAAGTTACGAAGAGCTGCGCCGGCAGCGCTCGATGACCCGTTGACCACCCTCACGTGACGCTGATCTCTCGGCCTTGTCAACACTTCCTGACCACACCACCTTGCTCGCTGAAATCAAGTCACGAGGAAGTTGCCCGCCAGGTCTCTTTACTGGCTTTTGCTTCCCCGCAACGTGCTCAACAGCTGTCAAGCACAATTCTCTGCCTCCCCTCCGCCGAGCCATTCAGCAGGAAATCGCGGAGGTCGTTCCTGAATATATATATATATATTTGTTACGTGCACATGAAAGTAAACATTTTCAGTTCAAAGTCAGCACTGTGTGTGTGTGTGTTTGCATGTTTTCTGTCTGCATTCAGTCTGTCTGCCGAAGTTCGCTAAGAAATGCTTTGCATTTAAAAGTGCAAATTATCACTGCTCTGCAATACCGCAGTGTTTCATGCAAGGTATATCAAACTCTGAACGCGTGTTGCGTACTTGTTGAACAAGCAAGACATTTCTATGTTTGTTTTCACAGTGCTGTTCAATCCCCCCCCCCCCCCCCCCCCCCAGCACGATAAACTAAACTAACCAGCCCACCAATGCACTCTGGCTTATCAGAAAACTGTCGTTATTATACATGGGTATGGTCCACAGAAATTGGGCAAATCGCGCCAGACACAACTTGCACTATAAGAAAGAAGGCCCTACCTATGGCTGCAAAGCAACAGCGGCGAGCCAAAGACCAAGAGTATGTACAACAAGGGAATACCAAGGAAAGGCAGCGAGAGGTCCCTGAAGAGATGGAAAGCCCATGCCAATGGCGACATGCCAGTATCGTGTGTGTGACTGCCTGTGATTATTTCGAACATCTCTGTGCTGAGAACGTAGAAACAACCTGACATCTTCTAGCTAGAGTCTAGCAATGACCTAGAAGCAGCCTAGAGACAACCTAAAAACAATTATATTAGTCTTCAGAATTATCTACTTACACTGTTTCAAGACTTGTGCAGATTAGTTCAAGCTTCGTTACTTTTTTTTTTGCATGTAATCTCTCCACTTTGCGCTTCTTGTGTCAGGCCATTTATGGGAAGATATGGAAGGGAGTTGAGCTATGACAGACATCACAAGAAACAGCCCAGGTTATTGAACCAAATGTAAAAGTTGTTGCAGGGTAGCTTCTATTTGTAGGCTGTGAATAAATAACGGGAAGAGGTGTACAGTAAAAGCTCGTTAATTCAGATTTATTGAGACTGGATAATGGTCCAAATGAACTGAATGCCTAATTATCGAAGGTATAAAAAAAATGAACATTTATTACATCTATGCACATTCATTTTTTAGAGAAATATGGTAATCCAGCAATTATTTTTCAAACAATGTAAAATCTATTATATACGACATTTGTGAATTCGTTCACAATCCGAAAGGTGCTCAAGACCCCTGTGTCTCAATCCGAAACGTGCTCTAAACACACAACATATTATGCACCAACAACGCGGTTGTGATGATTACACTATTTTAAAGGCCTGTGGCCATTGCGACTGTCCACGAACGCCATTTTCGCACCGTTTCGTTGAACATTTGTGGTGCTCCATGTTCACTGCACTGTGAGGACTGTCTGAGTTAACAGAGTTGCAGCCAAATATGACCGAATTAAGAAAACATTGATGCCATTAAACAATGTGTATGCTGGCTGGGGACAGAAAACCAATCCAAATTATCTGATTTTCCTAATGAATGAACATCAAATTAATGAGCTCTTACTGTAATAGACCACTTAAGTTTCTGTGGGAAGTAATGAGTAGAGACCGCAATTTTAGGCACGAAAAAAGAATGTTTTTGGTGCCTGTAACAGGCCTTAAAAACTGCCATTTAGGCATAAATAGGCGTTAAAAACTATCGTTAAGGCACAACTCAGCATTAATTCAGTAGCTTGCTAAGGACAATTACTCAATGTCTAACACAGTAGGCAAAAGCTGTGGTTTTGGAAAGCGAAATTTTTTTATGAAAGGAATTAAAAAAAAGCATAATCATTTGAACAGATTTAGGTGAAAGCTGAAGTAACTTGACATTGTGGGAAAAGCTATGAAAACAATGGCAAACCAGCATCATCTCAAGGTTTTTGGGCTAGAATTGTGCTTGCTTTCATCCAGTATTTGCTTTTATGCGAAAAAGAATGCTCGATGTCCACTGAAGTTAGTCAAGTGTACTTGTGGCCTAGCACTTTCAATGCTTTCATTGCATCCGGAATATTTGAATCAGCACCACTCGAAACTTCCCACGCTTGCTTTAGCACATACAATCCGGAATTCTTCCCATGGCAGATTTAAGCTATGAGGCAACCCTGTCAGCGACCAGTCTATTGGGGAAGGGGCAAACCTTTCCTGTACGTCAAAACAATTGGGTATCCTTAAGCTTAGCGCTGAACGCGATATCAATATTCTGTCTCTGGTGTGTACTTCAACCACTTAGTGCATAATTTTTATTCAGTGAAGCTTTCACATATGGCTGCATTCTGTGCTATGTGTAAGCGAGTTCACAAATACAGATATAAAAATAACAAAATGATTATTCGTGCCCGTGTAATGACCACAAAATACATGTTATTTGTGCAGATTCAGGGGTTATTTTAAAAAATTGGCAGTACAGTAAGTAAAGTTTAAGGATACCCAGTTGTTGGGAGCTTTATGACTACGCATGCTTCAAAGTGGACGCCAAACTCAAAATATTCTTGACCTTTCCAATGTCCTCTCCCCTGCTTTCCACATGGACCGTTTCTCAATCGACAGAGTAGCGCTGTCATTTACTGGTCCATTGTTTGACAAGTATACTTCGCAGCTTTTTTTTTTATTCCAAATTGCTCGGCAGACTTCAGACAGCTGTCGTTATGAAGAACATAAATGCCAACAAAACCTACGTGTAAGCTTTAGGTGGCAGGGCTAGCCTAGCTTAGTTTCGGCTGATTGGAGTATGTTGTAGCTACATTGTACTCTAGCCTCCAAAATGCTACCGCCGGGCTGCACTACTCTCGAACCTAGCGACGGAGATCTTCAAGGGGCAGGGGGTACACTACACAC